GCAAGGTGGGTGCCGCGCTTGCTCACAATCGAACAAAAGCAGCGTCGAGAGGATGTTGAGTTAAAGTTCGAATTGCTTCCCCACGCACCCTATTCGCCAGATTTAGCCCCCTCGGATTATTTTCTCTTTCCAAACTTGAAAAAATGGCTCGGTGGTAGAAGATTTACCAACAATGAAGAGGTGGAGTCTGCGGTTAATGGCTATTTTGAGGAGTTCAACGGTTCTTACTATAAACAGGCCATCGAAGCTATTGAACATCGCTGGGAAAAGTGTATCGAGCTAAAAGGAGACTATGTTGAGAAATAAAGATATTTTTTCCCAAATTTTTTGTGTTTTCTTTGTTAGGTCGGGTACTTCTGGGACCACGTATATACAATAATGTACCCAAAATATAATTTTAATATTGCATATATCATTAATTCACTAATATGTTTATATGCAATGATAGAATAATATTTTGTATCATTGTGTGTGTACACATACATTATAATATACATAAAATGTAATTGTAATTCATGAATGTCTATATACAGGGTGTCCCATTCATCACCGGTCGATTTGAATTTCGCGCTATTTTTAAAACGTCAAACCGATTAACCTCAAACTTCACATATGTCATCTAGACAGATGGGAAATTAATCATGGAAAAGTACACGGTGAAAGAACGCGTGCAAATTATTCAGGCGTATCACGATCTTAGATTCGGCATCGTTTTAAAAATAGCGCGAAATTCAAATCGACCGGTAATGAATGGGACACCCTGTATATACAACGTTAGAATTAAATTTTATATATATCATTATACACATTATACATTATAATATAAAATTCTAATATTACATAAAAATGGACATAGAGAATATCTGCACGAATATCTCAGCATGAGTAATTTTTAATAATGTGTGTTTATTGACATATTATAATACATGTACAATTTAACATATTACACGTATAAATATACTATGACATTGGGCTTGTCTTAGCGCCAAGACACTACCGTGTCTTCAGATCAGTAATATCTCTATATTTGAGCATAGATAACTTCTGTCTCTCTTTTTAATAGACATAGCAAAAAATAGAGTAGCTGCATATATACATATATACATGTATTGTACATGCAACACGTGTCCATATATTAACAATAATACATATTACATCTTGACTTAAAATGACATTGGTAAAAGTGGTCATAGGAAAAAGTGATACTACGACTGTGTACCAACATAGATTGTGAGTATTAAAAATATGTAATACTCGTATACGTAACTATAGATTTTCAGTATTGGCAGTATACATTGACACATGGTAATAGCATTTTTTCTTTCAATGTCATTTTAGGTCAGAATGTAATACATATGTATTAGCAATACATAGATATATTACACTCGCTAGTCGATTACAGTAAGTCGCCTCTGACAGTAAATTAAAAATGGTCAGTCCACGATGAACGTTTTTGACATTTACCTATAACTAATCAAAACACGAATTACGGCTCTGGCATTTTGTTATAGTTCGCCAGCCCACGATTAACACCTCTGGCAGTACATTAAAAATAGTCAGCCCACGATGAACGCTTCTGACATTGAATAATTAGACAAAGCACATTTTATTGTTATAACATTTAACCGTATTACTTGTATGATAAATAAAAGTGACATTTTCACGAATGACATAAAGATACTAACCTTTCCCATTCTGGCTTTATAGGATGCTTTCCAACAAGAAACACATATTACAATAATCTTTTAACTAATTTTGACTTTATAAGGTACCTTACAACAAGAGACACAGTGTGACATGATCTTGTTGTTCACTAATGTACAAGAATGAGATAATCACTGTGTTGTACTGTGTGAATCGCTTGTTAGAAAGCATACCCTTCTCTTACCAAAGGCAGAAAATTTTTTTATGTTTATCAATAATGTTATTTATTAAAAAAAAATTATGAAAAAAAGGAAAAAGCAGGATCAAACATAAGATCTTCAACATTCTGATCTCACATCTAATGCTCGAGACCACGTTGAGTTCTTGCGTATCATCTCTATGAACGCGGTACATAAAGCGTACAGAAAGTCGTAAACTATATTTCATTAATTATCACGTTTTGAAATCATTTTTGCTATTATATGTTAATGAGAAAGATATATGATTAACATAATTTAATAAAAGGAAAATAAAAGAATTTTAAATAACAATACGGTTGCCAGTTCTCTTGTTTTTTTTTTTGCCAGAAACTTCGGTTTCTTGGACTAATATTCGATAGTCCAGCAGATGTGAAAAGTTTACAAAAATTGGAGATTTTTATTTTTTTTTGTCTACTGGAGTATGGAATATTAGTTCAAGAAACCGAAGTCTGCCAAAAAAAAAAACGGAAACCTGGCAACCGTGTTTGTGATTTAAAATTCTTTCATTTTCCGTTGTCTCGATAGAGCGAGACAGAGAAAAAATAAAAACGGATAGAAGCTCCGATTGTAATCGGTGAGCCTCCGCGCGGACACGCCGAGCTGGGCTCGTCTAGCAAAACAATGAATCTGTTCCTCAAAGTCTATCTTTCTCTCTGTGGTCGCTTATTTCTAGCGACCGAAAATACTTCCTCGGCGATCTCGGCCGCTTGGCATGTATCATAAGGGGGAAAGAGACATTCTAGATAACACATCACTTTTATTAAATTATTTTAATTCTTTGCCCTATAATATAAGTTCTGATGGCGCGTGCCATAATCAACAGCCTGGAATGTGTTGTTTGGTTCGATAGACCATAGCTCTCACCTATGATACTCATATTTAGCCCGATTTCCTTACCACGAGTCTCCACGCGATATTGTAAGCAAAAGAGTTAGGTTCAATAATATATTAACAAAACTCAATCAATGGGCGAAGTAAGAGTCAACCACATTTTTTAAAATTTTCATAAAATTATATATTATATTAACAGCGATGAAACATCAAAAAATTAGACTATAAACTAATAAATTACAAGTTTCGGTTTGAGCCCTTTTCAGACATTAGTATAACGAAAAAATAACAGAATAAAATCAATTATCGCAAATGTTCGCATATTCAGAATAATCACAGTTCGGGTGAGTCTTGATCTCGAAACATAATTTCCGTATGGTTGAACAGTCAAAAGTATTAAAAATATCATTGGTAAAGTTCTAGTTAATAAAAAGGATAAATTAAAAAACAAAAAAACGTACTACCGATAACTACGCATAAATAAAATAATATTATACAAAATACCGAAAATCCAACAAAATCAATAAAAATTATTTCATAAAAAACTCACCAGAAATCATATGTGAGAAGTTTGAATTAATATGTCCAAAAAGAAATAAAAAACTTATGAAATATGTACAGTGAGAAGGAGCGCAGATATGTAAGACAGACATTATGTATCGATTTTTATGTACGTTCAGTAGTGCGGATCAACACAGACTGAGAGAGGAGACGGACTGTTCGTAACCGAAAGTCAAACTCTATTTATGATTGGAATATAAGCTTTGTGGAGGCCATCGGTATCAGTCTGTAAATTGAGACCATTCTTTTGTTTCTTGATATTAATCATCTCTGAAACCAAACGTCTCCGATAGCAGGGCTCTTTGTCTAAGATTTCGACCTCATCCCATTTAAATTTATGGTCTAGTTGTCTCCTATGCTCCGTTATGACAGATCGTGCCGACGTGTTGTATCTAATGTGATTGCGATGTTCTGCAATACGATACAGGCATGCGTGCTGGCCCAACATCCGTGCACAAGGACACATTGAATGTCAACAAGCCTTCGCTTACGTTATCTCCTAGTAACTTGATATCTATACATCCCAGTTCCTTCACCTCACACAGATCTTCGTCCCTGACCACTGTCCGAAACGGGTGGTTCCTCAACCTATCCTCTGTGTCCATTCCAATAGACATACAGTGTTTCCTACAACTAGGTGAGAATTTCGCTCTTCCACTAAACGATAAACATAAGATTATTTTCGATTGCATTAAGAGTGTTGAGACCGGTGTGCATCGCATGCCGATCGAAAATAGGATCGCGATCACCAACCACTCCATTCCAATTCTTAACAGTATCATTTCTTCTCCAATCACAACATCTCCGATTGATAAACTATTGTTAAGAATGGAATCGAAGACACGCGCCTTTTTATTGGAACATACCAATGTCCTTTTCACACACGCAGATAAGGGCAATGTCACAGTCGCTTTAGACAGAGATGTCTACATGAATAAGATGATCACTCTGCTGAATGACAAGGACACATACTCTCTTATCAATAAAGATCCCATCAGGAAAATCACAACAGCGATAAGGTCCATGCTCACCAGATGGAAGACGAAGAAATATATTAGCGAAGCAAAATACAAGACGTTATATTGTAGTGACGGATCACTTCCGAGAGCTTATGGGGTGCCGAAAATACATAAACCTGGTTGCCCTTTCAGGGTCATTGTCTCTTCGTTGGGCAGTCCGCTTTATCCACTGGCGACATTCTTACACAACATATTAGTTAAATCCATTCCTAAAGCAGAGAGTTATATAAAAAATAGTTTCGAATTAGTTGAGAAACTAAAAAGATTACACACTACAGACCAATATAAATTAATCTCACTGGACGTAAAATCTCTGTTCACGGATGTTCCGGTGGATATAGCCATAGACTGTGTTAATGAACGTTGGATGTATGTTTCCGGAGACTGTCCTCTCCCTAGAGATGAGTTTGTGGGGGCAATAAGGTTTATTCTTGATTCCACATTTTTTTTGTTTAACAACAATTTTTATAAACAAAGTTACGACACTCCCATGGGGCCCCCCTTATCACCTGTAATAGCGGACTTGGTGATGAGGAGATTTGAGACGGTGTCCTCGATGTCGTTGAACTTGGACGTGACATTTTATTTTAGATATGTGGATGATATTTGCACTGCGGTTGAGCCATCAAAAATTGACTCAATAGTAAAACAATTTAACTCTTTCCATCCACGATTACAATTCACTTCAGAATTTGGGGGTGATGAAATCAGTTTCCTGGATGTTACTATATCTATCATTGGAAACGGGTTTGGAGTTGATTGGTATCGTAAGCCAACCTTTTCAGGGAGGTTTTTGAATTTCTATTCTAACCACCCCATTGCACAGAAAAGAGGGACGATTTTTTCACTGGTTGACAGAACAATTTTACTTTCAGACGTTCGATTTCACACATAGAATTTGACACTTATCATCAACATTTTATTAGACAATGACTACCCATTATCATTTATACATATTTGACACAATCAACCTACGAATAAAAAACTTGAATAGAAATAGACACATAACACAGAACAGTTTGAATGACAAGGTCGAAGCGAGGGAATCGGTGTCATGGCTTACGGTTCCGTTCATCCCTCTCCACACAAAAAAGTTCAATCGGTTCAACAATAACGACATCAGGGTTTCTTTCCGTAGTCCGAACAAACTCAAAAAATACATCAAAGTACACCAAGATGTTTATCCGCAGACATCGAAGAACAACGTGGTTTACAAAATTTCATGCAATGATTGTGACGCTACGTACGTGGGACAGACAGATAGAAAATTAAAAACAAGGATTGCAGAACATCGCAATCACATTAGATACAATACGTCGGCACGATCTGTAATAACGGAGCATAGGAGACAACTAGACCATGAATTTAAATGAGATGAGGTCGAAATCTTGGATGAAGAGCCCTGCTATCGTAGACGTTTGGTATCAGAGATGATTAACATCAAGAAACAAAAGAATGGTCTCAACTTACAGACTGATACCGATGGGCTCCACAAAGCTTATATTCCAATCATAAATAGAGTTTGACTTTCGGTTACGAACAGTCCGTCTCCTCTCTCAGTCTGTGTTGATCCGCACTACTGAACGTACATGAAAATCGATACATAATGTGTCTTACATATCTGCGCTCTTTATCACTGTACATATTTCACAAGTTTTTTATTTCTTTTTGGACATATTAATTCAAACTTCTTACATATGATTTCTGGTGAGTTTTTTATGAAATAATTTTTATTGGATTTGTTGGATTTTCGGTATTTTATATTGTTTTATTTATGCGTATTTGTCGGTATTACGTTTTTTTGTTCTTTAATTTATCCTTTTTATTAATTAGAACTTTACCAATGACATTTTTAATACTTTTGACTGTTCAACCATACGGAAATTATGTTTCGAGATCAAGACTCACCCGAACTGCGATTATTCTGAATATGCGAACATTTGCGACAATTGATTTTATTCTGTTATTATATTATTTTTCGTTATACTAATGTCTGAAGAGGACTCAAACCGGTAGCCGAAACTTGTAACTTGTAACTTATTAGTTTATAGTCTAATTTTTTGCGAGATGTTTCATCGCTGTTAATATAATATATAATTTTATGAAAAAAATTTAAAAATGTGGTTGACTCTTACTTCGCCCTTTGATTGAGTTTGTTATTATTTATTATAATTATCGTATTGTAATTATTGTATTATTGTCAATTATATTGTAATATATATGTGTATATATATAATATTAGTAGAAAGTTCGATAAAAAAAATTATAATTATGTAAGAAGGAAAGTAAAGGATTGATAATTTGCTGGAAAGTCGCAGCATATTTCTTATACCATAGTGCTTCTGAGATACACGTCCGCGCGCGATCCGGTGCGGTGCGGCGGATCAGCCGTCGAGCGTTGAGCGGTAATAGGCGGCGGGGGAAAAGAAGGCGATGCTTCAAAAGTCAACTCAAAATGTGCAACTATTTCCGAGCCTCGGAAAATTTAACATGTACTCCAACAACTGTAAGAAGAATACCGAATCACTTCAATAAATAAATAAAAAATTATTTGTATATTGCACAACATACCATATAAAGGCTTTTTAATTTGTGAATTATAAAATTATATGGACATCATCCTTATAATTATATTAATTATCGCATTTTTGCGATTTGATTCATTATCAGAATTTTCATACATTCGGATGATAGTTATAAAAGAAACATTTAACAGAAAGTACTGATCTCGACACCAAACGTAACATTATTACAAAAACATGATTTCTTTTCGGATTTTTTCTAAAAGTAAATAGATTCCATTTACATATAAAAATACTGGTTTTCTATCTATTCTAAGTATTAAATCAACAATTGTAGCAAAAATAATTCGACGCATACTACGCACACTATGTTTCCTTGATACAACAATCATCGACAATCAGAGAAACATTTTTGATACATATCACAAAGCAACCTTTTCTGGCAAGTTTCTCAATTTCTTTCCGAATCATCCTCTCTGTCACAAAAGAAGCACTATTATCAATTTTTTAGACAAATAATATTGTCTTTCTTTTATCTGTCACACCCTCGCTCTAACAAAAAAATTTGATCGACACAATTCACACTTTTCTTGAAAATGCTTATCCTCTCTCCTTTATTTTTCCCACAATAGAACAAAGATTGAAATTTCATACATTTAATAAAACTACACATAATTTACAAATCAAAGAAAAATATTTTACTATTTCTTATGTACATTCTATATCAGAAAGTTTTCTACCTATTTCTAACATGTTTCATTGTAAACTAGCTTTCACCATCACAAATACTTTAAAAAATTTTATTGAAAGAAGTAAAGATAAGTTAGAATTGCTTTCGAATCAAAATGTTTTATATAAGATCTCATGTGATGATTGTGACGCCAGCTGTGGTGGCCAAATCAAGAGAAAACTAGATACTAGATTGCGTGAACACATTTCGGATATTAACAAAAAGAGAGGTTCTCCATCTGTTATATCTGATCATCACGTTAATTTTAATCATAATTTCAGATGGAATGATGTGAAGATTTTAGACAGTGACTTCTTACAATGAAAGATTGATATTTGAAATAATTCACATTAAAAGACAGAGTTTAAATAAACAAAATGATACTGAATTATTGCCAGAATCCTGCTCACAAATCATACAATCCCTCATAATTATCTTTCTTTCCTCTCTATACATCCCCTCTCCTATTTCCCTTCTACCTATTTCCCCTCTTGCTTCCCATTATTTTCTAACATCACCTCTCTTTTCTTCTCTGAAAGTCATTTTAAATTTATTTTGTCTAATAACGTCGAAGATTAGAGACATCGATCTTTCTCTCATCGCATTGTCTATTATACTTTATTTATATTAATTTTTTTTCTGGATTGAACTCTTAACTACAATTATGAAAGATATTTTGCTTATTTAATTTTAAAGAATATTTAATTAATTTAATTGAACAGATAGTTTTACATTATACATTTTATACTTTCACTTATATCAATATTGTGTTGTTCTGTCATTCTTATAATCTTACATTATTATTATAGCTATAAAGCGTTATTTTTCGTTCTGGACATTATTTTATACTCATACACTGCTTTTTAGCTGTACAATTTTTCTAATGAAATGAGGATTCTGATACCAACAGTTTGATGTCTTGACATTGCGAAGTATATTTTTATTTGCCATCGAACGTACACAGTATAAATTTTTACCTTTCTGACGAATTCTAATGTATGTATTTTATGTATGTTATTGTTCCGTTCAAGTAACAAGACGAAGATTCTTCTTAATTTATTGATACCAACGATTATATAGTTATTAAATGCGAATTACATGTTTAATCTTCGATCAACTTTATGTTGTGTTTTTTACCGTTTATAAACCTACTTTGTAAACATTGATAATCCGATTGTGATTGAAACGTTTGTTGATAGCCGGCATGTTATTAAATTTTATAATTATTTGATTAAAACTTTTATTTATTTATTTATTTTTACAGGTCAAATTTTGGCTCGTAGCTTTTTTTCGTTTAATTTGTTTTTAAATTATTGAGCCATTATACAATACTATTGTATAAAAATATATTTAGTCTGTAATGTATTTATTAACAATGTCACTTTAAAAAAATTACGAAAAAAGAAAAAAGGAATAGATTGTGGGATCTCTAACATTCTAATCTCGTACCCTATACGTGAGACCACGCCGTGGTTTTGCAAACCACTTCTATGAACATGGTATATAACGGTCATGGAAAATCATGGAAATGTCAATATCTCGTAAATTATTGTGTTTTGAAATTATTTTTGTTATTATACATAAATTGGAGAGATATACAATTAATATAATTTATTAAAACGTGTACGTTAAAACTTGTACGTTATCCATAATGTCCCTTCTCCTCTTATTTATACACGTTGAGCGGTCGAAATTGCTGAGAAACAAGCGATTATAGAGAGAGAGAGACAGACTCTGAAGAATAGACTCTTAAGGATAGACTTTTTCGCTCGACGAGCCCAGTTTGGCGTGCGTCCGATTACAATCGCAGCTTCTATCCTTTTTTGTTTTTTCTCTGTCTCACTCTATCATACTTCTGTTTCGATAATTCGCTCTGCAATTTAAGAATGTTCTATCAGTTCCGGTTTACTATCATCGCCGATGTAGCAACGATGCACGACTCCTTTTCTAAGCAATGATTCTATTTTAATATATATTTTTATATATTGTATATAGAAAAATATATTATATTATTATGGCGTTTCCAACTGATAATATATTGCTGATTACATAATGATTCAATCTATTTCTATATTTGCGCGCGGGCGATAAGAGAAATGACACTTCCTATTAAGTGCTCTTTAACCCTTTTACATCCAAGCCAAGTAAAAAATGTGCTCTATATAACAATTTCAGACTTTGTACGTTTAAAAAATAAATAAGTAGCTGGCGCATTACAGAAAATCTCAAAGAACAATACTATGCTTGTAGAAATGAGCTAAGGGCTTTAGTATAAGAGAACGGAGTCTACGAAAATTTTATTTGTATGCTACGAGTGAAATTGTTGCTCAACGCTTCGGCATCTGAGCAGAGTAAAAAATCAACCGAAAATAATATAATATATGTAAATAATATTGTATATTTTTTGTTTATGAAGACATTATTTATACACAAAAATTGAAATAATATCATATTTGTTTTATTATTATTTTTCCTCTCAAGAGAAAAAATTTTAATCAAGGCATGTAAGAAGCTTGTTACGAGCCTGAGTAGGTCGATAATTCTGATCATTTCTGCTGATCCAGCGAGGCACACTTGATGATAGCGCCGCTGTCGCAACATCGAGGAACTAAAATAGTGCTCGGTGTTATGGCTTCATGTCAATGTCAGTTTTGTTCGTAGCATATGAATGAAATTTTTGGCGACTCTTTTCTCTTATACTAAAGCTCCTAGCTCATTTCTACGGGCATAGTATTGTTCTTCAAAGTTTTTTGTAGGCTGCTGGCTACTTATAATATTTTAAATAGGTAAAATCTGAAATTTTTATATGCAATACATATACTGCGACGAGTCGATCAAAGGGGCACAACAATTGGCACTGCGGCTATAACTCAAGATTGAGGTTATCCGAACCTCGTGTGCAAATTCAAGATGGAACAACTATTAAATGCGTTAATTCACACGCAACAGCAGCTGGCTCAGGGACAACAGATGTTCATGCAACAAATGGCTGAGTCGCAAAAGCACATGGTAACTCTCTTGCAACAAGTACAAGATAATCCCACTTCCACATCTTCGCAATCAATAGCTACAGATAGCATTGTATCCGCTCCTCTGGCAAAAGCATCTCAATTCTCAAATCTTGCTGAGTGATTAGGTAAATTCACCCACAAGCCGACAAACGGCAAAACCTTCACGTGATACGAACGTTACGAAGGCATCTTTACGGAGACCGCAAAAGATTTAATAGAGGACGAACGAAAGTAGTTGCTTTTAAATGCTCTCAGCGACGATGAATATCAACGTTTATTAAGTCGTTTATCACTTATTAAATCATTCGACTTAAGTTTCCTTGATTTAGTCAAACATCTCAAAAAACAGTTTCATGATAATAAGTCGCTTTTCCAACGCCGTTTCGAAGCTCTAAATTTTCGGGCAACGCTGTCCATGGCTGTAATTGATATTCTTAATCGAAGCATTCTGGGAGATGCTTTTGAAATTAACAATTTAAATTTAGATCAACTAAAAATTCTACTTGCTGTTTTAGCACTTAGCAATGCCTATCAAACAGAACGTGCTCTTCTGTTTAAAATTGTAATAGAAAAGGAGAATTGCACATACAGCGACATCAGAGAAATTTGTTATGCCCATGTAGAACGTACTGCGGATGTAAGACGCGTCAAGAACCAACACATCACAGAAATAAATGCCGTGCAAAAGCCGTTTGAAGTCAAACGCAAAGAAAAGGAAGTTAAGCGTCACGGAAAGCCAACGGAAAAAAAATTGGCACCTTCACAATGTCATAGATGTGATTTTACCACACATAAAAAGGAAGACTGCCTATTTAAGGAAGCGGAATGCAAAAACTGTAAAAAGATAGGCCATATAACCAAAGTCTGTCTTGCAAAAGGTAAGAAAATTGGAACAATTCAATTGCAAAATATTTCAGGAGTGGTTCAGAAGCATCGAAAATACGCAGAGATTTTTCTAAATAAGACGAAATTAAAAATGCAGCTGGACATTGGCGGACATAACGACAATTAGAACGAATGCATGAATTAAAATAGGACGTCCTATGCTGCAACCTTACAGGTCCTCCTATACGACCGTTTCTGGTAAAAGAATCAAGACACAGGGATTCTTTCACGCTACAAAGGACATTCTACGAAGGATTCTGTTATTGTGTTAGATCGTCCAAATACAGCACTTCTTAGTGCACAAGCCATCGACAAACTCGAACTAGTGGAATACGAGAGAGTTACAAGTGAATTTTCAATCAACAAAATTAAGGATAATTTCGTTGCAAAACAAATATCCGCTCTTCAGCGATAAACTAGGAGAATGTACTAAAACAAATGTCAAGCTACGCCTTAAATCAGATGCTCATCCAGTTCACACTCCATGTCCAGTTTTGCTTGATCTGAAGGAACAGCTTAGTACCGAGCTCGACCGACTTGTTAAAAATGGAATTCTGACACTCGTGGACGTATCGGACTGGGCAGCTCTCATAGTCGCAGCAAGGAAACCAAACGGGAAGATACGTATCTGTGCTGATTTTTCCACGGGAAAATTAAATGAAGCCTTAGACGCCGATAACTATCGATTCCGAGAATTGAAGATATTATATCAAAGCTTCAAGGGAATATTGTTTTCTCACAACTAGATTTATCGGACGCATATTTTCAATTAAAATTGGACGAAGAAAGCAAACCTCTGACAATCAACACACATTGAGAGTTATTTATGTCCAATAGACTAATTTTCGAATTGAAGCCAGCACCTGCCATCTTCCAACGTACACTGGAGCAGGCTCTGGCAAACATACCGAGCATTGTGATCTACCTGGATGATATCCTCGTCTGTGGCCGCAATCGTGCGGAGCACAACACACGCCTAGACGCAGGCTTAAATCACCTTCAAGACTGGAGATTCAGATTAAACATCGGAAAATGTAAGTTTCACTCGTCTTTCGTGAAATATTTAGGCTTTATTGTTTCTGGCAGAAATATTGAACCGAATCCCGCTTGTATCAAACCAATAAATTCGATGAGAGAGCCTAATCAACATGAAGGAAGTAAGAACATTTCTTGGGCTAATAAAATTACAAGAATTTCGTCCCAAATTTGCATCGATTGAAAGCCCCGTTGGAACTCTTGCTCAAGAAAGACACTCCCTTTGCGTAGGATTCTACTTGCAAAAGGCTTTCTACAAAATTAAGGAAGTTATAGCCAGTTCTCTTACTTGCACACTACGATCCCACATATTAGGTGTACAAAAAAGTTCTGAGCTTTAGATTTGATACAACCGAAATAACAATTTAAATTTTATATATCTTCCCGCCCTTTTGGGGTTTTAAAACAGTAACATTTAACCTCCTGAAATGCGATACGGTTTGGCGTTTGATGCACATAACCTCAAAAATCAGTAGTGTTCACGATGGCAATTACAAAAGAGCATATTCGATTTTCCATCCACTTCGCGTTTCATCTGAAGAAAAATGCTGCTGAAGCCACTGAAATGATTTGTGCTGCATATGGAGAGAACGCTGTAAGTCATGCAACATGCAAAAGGTGGTATCAAAAGTTTCGCCAAGGAGATTTCAGTCTTAAAGATGAATCGCGTGCTGGACGCCCTGAAAAGATTGAAACGGACGAATTGCAAGCACTGCTGGATATAAACTCTGCGCAAACTGAAAAGGAGCTTGCAGAACAGCTTGGCGTTACGCAGCAAGCCATTTCCGTACGATTACATACGATGGGAAAGGTTCAGAAGGAAGGCAGATGGGTTCCGCATGATTTGTCCCAAGACAACAAAAATCGACGGCGTGACACTGCACTCAGTTTACTCTCAAAGTTCCGGAAAAAAGATTTTCTGCACAAAATCATTACAGGCGATGAAAAGTGGATTCTTTATGATAACCCTAAACGTAGAAAATCATGGGTTGATCCTGGTAAACCTTCGACATCGACGCCAAAGCCCAATATCCACGCCAAGAAGGTTTTGCTCTGTATCTGGTGGGATTGGAAGGGTGTGTTGTACTACGAGTTGTTACAACAGGGTGAAACAGTCACGGCAGACCGCTACCAACAACAATTGACCAATTTGAGCGATGCATTAGAAGAAAAGAGGCCATTTACTGGCCAAGGACATCGTAAAGTGATCTTGCTTCATGACAATGCTCGACCTCATGCTGCGAAAACGACTCAGGAGCATATCTTTGCGTTAGGCTGGGAACTTCTCCCGCACGCGGCGTATAGCCCAGACATGGCGCCTTCCGATTACTACCTATTCCGGTCGCTGCAGCATCATTTGGCTGATACACATTTCGTGAGATTAGAAGAGATACGAAAATGCATTGATGACTTTATCGCTTCGAAGCCGGTGAGTTTCTATCGTCAAGGAATTCGCAAGCTCCCCGAAAGATGGCAAAAGGTCATTGATGCAAACGGAGAATATTTCGCTGATTAATATTTTTTCGTTTGTTTTTAAATAAAGATTGAATTTTACAAAAAAAAGCTCAGAACTTTTTTGTACACCTAATAGAATAATAGCTAATTGTCGCTGTGGATGCAAGCTCCACAGGTATCGGTGATGTGTTGCTACAACGTTACTCGGGTAGACAAGTTAAAGCTGTTTTTCACATGTCGAAGACACTGACGAAGACGCAACAAGGCTACAGTCAAATCGAAAAGAAAGCACTGGCACTGGTGACTCTTATTGAACGATTTTTAGAAAATTCTCGTTTGGCCGACATTTTATACTCCAAACGGATTATCGACCCCTGCTGATACTGTTCCGTACTTCTAAAACAAAGGGGTTGGATACTCATACCGCATATCGCTTGAAACGATAGGCACTCCGCCTCATTGGATATGATTTCGACATCAAGTATGTTAAATCAGAACACTTTGGGCAAGCCGACACTCTGTCTAGACTCATCCAAGGAACGGCAAGAATGGACACTCCCGATCCAGAAATGGAAGAAGTCGTTGCTTCATTGTGAAGTAGAAACGAAATTACAACAGCTGGTACAAGAATCAAATGAATTGATTCCGAAGACCACAAGGAAGGATTTACAGCGGGCTATGTGCAAAGACGGAATTTTGGCCAAGGTTATGGACCGCCTGTAGACGGGTTGGCAAAAGTCGAACGCAAAAGATAGCGATTTATTCCCTTTCTATCGCCGGTGCGACTACCTAACTGTCATGGACAAGACACTTGTATCCGATGACAAGATTGTCGTACCGCGTAGCCTTCGACCGAATGTTTTGCGACAATTACATGTTGCACACCCTAGTATTCGTCGCATGATACAGTTGGCTCGATGTTACGTCTATTGACCGGCTATGCATACTGACGTCGACAAGTATATTAAAAATTGTAAACATTGTACGAATACTGCACCTAACCCTATTAAGAAACTCTATCCGTGACCAAAGTCAAAATTATGATGGGAGAGGATTTTGCGGATCCAATACATGGACAATGGTTACTGGTCACAGTCGACAGACACTCTAGATTCGTAAACGCGGAATGGTTTTTAACGATTACAGCAGCAGCTACGTAAATACACCGTCTATTTTCCAGATGTGGACCGCCAAGGGTAATTGTATCCGACAACGGCATTCAGTTCACAGCTGAAGAATTTGCCCAATTCTGTGCAAAATTTAATATAATACATCTACGTAGTCCCCTGGAGCTGCGTAATCCCCTCAGCCCAACGGTTTAGCGAAACGTATGGTAAATACCCTGAAACATTCGTTGAATATACAAGTACCTTTGCAAAAGGAGGCAAGTTTAAATCAATTTTTGTATACGTATAACTATATGCCATGTGAAGCGGTTCCTGACCATAAATCTCCGGCGGAGATATTCTTTGGTCGCAAGTTTCGAACTCCCTTAGAAACTTTTCCTACGAACAAGCCAATCTTTATCTTGTCAACAGAGAATAATGAAGAAGCAATTTGATGTCCATCATGGTGCAAAGACTTGCCTTTTGTTCCAGGACAGCAGATGATGGTTAAACTCTCAAATGGTCGTCGAGTTTTCAGGGAAATAGTCAGCTGCATTGGTTCCGCAATTGCTCGTGTCTGCATTGATAGCAGTATTATCAAGCGGCACTTCAACCAAATCTGGGAACGGAGAGATTTCCT